GTCTGAGGTCCGAGTCTGAGGTCTGAGTCTGAAGTCTGAGGTCTGAGGTCCGAGTCTGACTCAGAGACAGCTTCAGCTCCTGTCTGTGACTCCAGGCAATGGATACATGGAGATAATGAAGTCTCTGGCCCCAGTGTCCACCTTTAGCTTTACTCTGTGCTGATTTCTATGTTAGCGTTCCTCTTAGCTCACCTGATCACTGAAACACTTGAGTCAGGAGAAGATTGACAGTTTGAAAGCAGCGAGTGAGGAAGAGGAGGAGGTCCTGATCTGCTGAGTCATTTACCTGAAACTTTAAAATCTCAGGTGTGTTCTTACAGCCTACCTTTGAACATTATTACATCTGGGCGGAGAATCGGTTTTGCTGTTTGTTCTCTTGGCTCAATTACACGACCACTAGATGGTGCGAAAGGTGCACAGAGACAGGACACACTCCAGGTTCTGTGTGTGTGCAGGTGAATGCATGCGTTTCCACAAACACTAAAACACTCCTGCGTCAGGCTCTACTGTTACACTATACAATAACACACTCACACACTGTACTTCTGGCCTTGTCTCTCTTGTTGCGGCTGAACAGTTTGATGCTGACGGGGGAGGATGAGGGTTGATGGTTTGACTCCCTGGAGGCAGACCTGAAGATCCCACTGAAACTCAGCCTGACACACACACACAGTGCAGTGTGAGTCTCTTTAAAGATAAATCTCCGAGTGTCACTTTTCATGTTTGTGTGTGTGTTCAGGTGTGTTTATTTACCTGCGTGGGGATCTGGGCGGTGAGTCCAGCTGCGGGGGTCCGGGCTGGTAGGGGAAGATGGTTTTAGGAGAGCTGGGGCTGGTCTTGGAGCTGGAGGTCCTGGCGGGGGCGGAGCGTGGGCTAGAGGGTCGGCTGAAGGGAGACCGATGGAAGAAGCTCCTGGTGGGGCTGGCAGAGTGGCACACGGGCTCCCCCTGCTGGATGGGAGGAAGTCATGATGGTAAACCTTCCTAACTGGATCTGTTCTGCTGTGGAACAGCTGGAGAACAGCTGGAGAACAGCTGTGTGACGTCAGCACACAGCTGGACATGCTGCTCCTCAGGGTTCCCTGCTAGGACCAGTTCTGTTTACATCATACATTCAGGTCCATTTATATTTGGACACGGACACAAGTTTGGTTTTTTTACCCGTTCACTGAAACATATTCCAGCTGTAGTTATGTAATGGACACAACGTGACAACGTGCAGACTCAGCGTGCAGTCGAGGTGGCCACATTCAGACTGGATGAGGGTTTAGGAGTGTCAGCGCTTTAACATGTGCCAGCCTCTTTTTAAAGGGACCAAAATGTTAGTCCAATAATCACGTGACTGATTGAGCGATCGCCTTCCTTTACACAACAACTCAAAGCTTCCACTGCGCCTTTCCCACCTGTGCGTAGCCATGCCTCCCCCCAGGACACTTGTGCAGCAGGTTATATACATCCTACACACAGTCATTGGACCATTGACTCCAAGACTATTCACGAGCATCTTTATGTCTTTAAGCAGATTAAAAGTCCGCAGTGGATCTGAGGTGTGGCGCTGGTGTTTGGAAGGTTTGGCTGTGACAACATGAGGTCAAAGGTCTCCATGCAGGTGAAACAATCCATCCTGGCTACAATATTAGGAGTGACAAAATCTACAGTTTGGTGCTGAGAGGAAAGAAAGCACTGCACTGACTCAGGCCCGGGCTCGGGACGCTGCACACGAATGTGATTCCCTCTACTCTGAAATCAAATCGGGGTCAGGTTAAATTAAACATGGCCTTACCTTACTGCCACCGTCCCTCTCGGCTCGGCCCGGGTCTCCGTCCAGGAAGGGCATGGTGAAGACGCTCAGGTCCTGCAGCAACACAGAGACGATAACGCTGAACTGCTGAACTGCAGAGCGAAGTGGAAACTCAGACGCCTGGCATACGGAGGACCAGCCTCCTCTCCTGTTGCATCATGGGACAGTTTGGGAGGTAAACATGAGGGCGACGAGGGAGCAGGCTGAAATTATCAGCAAACATCTGCTGAGCCGGTTGAAGCATAAACTCTGGTTTCAGCTGGTCTGAGAGTCTGAGATCAAACTCCGCCTCCATCTGCGTCTCCCAACTTTAAACTCGTCCTGCAGGTTACAGCGTCATCGAGTCCACGAGCAGGAAGTCATAGAGGGCGACAAACGGCAAGCAGCAACACCCGCACAGGCGGATGCGGCTTCACCTTCCTCTGAGCAAAATTGTTCACCACTACACTCTTCCCGAGGGGAGCTCAGAGGTCAGAGGTCACCACGAGGAGGGCATCCTGCAAGGCGGCGATCAGGGTTCACTCGCCCCTCTTCCTCCAGCACACTGCCTTTCTCACCAGCCTGTCTCACTGGTTGCCATTGGAAACGGATGGCTGGGATGTGGACCAACTGTGTTATCCACACACACACACACACACAGTCGTGTTTTCATATCTTTGTGGGGACATCTAATAGACATAATGCTTCCCCTAGCGTGTGTGTGTGTGTGTGTTTAGTGGTTCCAGAGGTGGACGAGAGTCGAGTTGACCCGTGACCCTCAGTGAACTCCAGGTCAATCTGTCCTCTGGGGATCAGGCTAATTGTTGGACAACAGATTAAATCAACCAGTGTTTGGCTGCCCCGGGGTGGTGACGGAGGCGGTCTGTGATGCAGTTCGGAGTCAGCCACGGACGTTAGTGTGGACCATGAGACCAGAGGAGACGAGCAGGAACACTCCTCAAACACTCCCGTCCACCGGGCCTCACCCGCCTCTCACCCGCCCACCACCACCATCACTCAGTGTGGCTTCATCTCAAACCTGCAGGGACTCAAGCCTGTCCTCAGCGTGTTCACATGAAGTCCTGCATGGACGAGCGTCCTCCAACCAGAACAGCTGCTGACTGCCGGTCACTGCGGCTCTGTGTGTGCGTGCGTGAGAGGTCAGAGGTCACACACTTTCACACGTATGTAGCACACAAATGTTAATGTGCACGACGGTGCAGCTGGAAGGCCGAAGGTTCGAGTCCGTGCCGCGCTCACACAGAACAATGCTGCAGCTGTCGCCGATCCCGCTTCGTGACGTGAGCATCGGCGTGCTCGCCGCAACATCTGTGCCGCTGTCACCGAGGTCATGAGAACGCAGCGAGGGTGGGCGGCGTTATCACCGCTCTGCTCTGTGACCATAAACCTGCTGTCACCTGACATCAGAGCGTTGTGTGTGTGTGTAAATGACTGTGAGCAGACATTAGGAGTTGATCCCCGAGTGCATCCAGCACAGATCCTGATGGTGCCGCTCACACTGCTGCTGTACGTGTCTGAAAGCTGCTGGGATGCTCCAGGGCCGGTTTGTAAAAAGGAAATGTTCATGTTTTGTGTTTTTTGTGATATTATGATGAAATCAAGCTTGTAATAGGACGCCTGCTCCACCTCTGGCACACAGGGTCTCGTGCTGAAAGCTGAGGCGGCCTCTGAGGCAGAACTCAAAGTCCTGGGTTTGACTAACAGTGGGAAACCCTGATGTTTGTGTTCAAAGTTCAAACGTGATGTAGCTTCAGTACACGGAGAGCGACTGACAGCAGCTCAGTGGTCGTTTCAAAGGTGTGTTTGTGTGAACTCGCTGCTCCAGTTTAACTGAAGAAGCCGTCTGAGTAAATGTCAGATGACACACAGTGACATCAGCACACAGGTCTCCATGGTAACCGAGGTCGACCTGCAGAATACTGATGATGGTTCAGTCGTAGTACTTTCCTGCAAACATTACTGCTAAAGCCCTGTGTGTACTCCCTGCTATTGCAGTATCCTCAGAGGTGCTGCTTTCTGTCCCATAATGCAGTGCGGCAGCTTTATTCCCAGCAGCAGAATTCAGAAAACAACACAGCACAATAACTGCTGCTATTAAAGTGGTTAATGACATTGTTGATTCAATGGACTGCAAAAAATACTGTGCTGCTCTTTTTCTTGACTTGTCAGAATCAGAATCAGAAACTTTATTGTCATTGTCACGAGAACAACGAAATGAAGAATGGTCCCCGATCATTGCATCATCCCTAGCAATATCAAAATATAAATAAAACAATAAAATTCAATAAATAAAATAGAATACTTAAAATACTAATAAGATGTAACAGTAAAACATTCACATACATTCCCACACACATGCTTCAGGCCGTGCATAGATTAACACAAGAGTGGCGTGATGGACATTTTTTTGTAGTATTCAGATGTGTTATTGCAGTTGGATAACAGCTGTGTTTGAGTCTATTAGTCCTTGCTCTGATTGCCCTGTACCGTCTGCCTGAGGGCAACAGTTCGAACAGGGAGTGGCCAGGATGTGAGGTGTCTTTTATGATGTTTTGGGCCTTTTTAAAACAGTGGACGTTGTGTAGAACTTCCAGTGTGGGGAGAGGGCAGCCAGTGATCTTTTGGGCGGTGTTAATGATCCCTTGGAGTGCTTTCCTCTGAGCCCCTGTGCAGCTAGTGTACCAAATACATATGCAGTAAGTTAGAACACTCTCAATGGTGGCTCTGTAGAAGGACACCAGCAGTCTCTGTGCGATGTTATTCCTCCTGAGAAGGCTTTTGATACAGTTGACCATGCTATTTTATTAAATAGACTAAACAATATTGGTCTATCTGTAAATGCTGTAAGTTGGTTTTCAAATTACTTGTCAGCAAGAAAACAGTGTGTCCGTGCTGCTGGGTCTTCTTCCTCTTTTCTCCCAGTATCCAAAGGAGTTCCGCAGGGCTCCATATTAGGCCATTGCTATTTTCTCTTTACATAAACAACCTTTGTGATAATTTGTCAAATGCAGCATTTCATCTTTATGCAGATGATACAATTATTTATTGTTCATCCCCTTCAGTAGCACAAACCCTGCAATTTCTGCAGTCTGCCTTTGATGTCGTTCAGTCCCATTTAACTCAACTTAAGTTGGTGTTAAATCCAGAGAAATCCAAGTTCATGTTATTCTCAAATGGCAAAGAGTTGTTAGCTACGTCTCCTAAGATTAAAACAATTCAAGGATCTGAAATTGAAATGGTCACATCTTACAAGTATCTAGGGATCATTATAGATCAGAATTTGTCATTTAAGACTCACATTCAAAGGCTTGTGTCGAAGTTAAAACTAAAACTAGGTTACTTTTTTAGAAACCAATCCTGTTTCTCCCTCCAAGTGAGAAAACATTTGATTCGTGCAACCTTTTTACCTTTATTGGATTATGGTGACCTGCTTTTTATGAATGCACCTGCCCACTACCTAAAGAGGTTGGATACTGTGTACCATTGTGCTTTACGTTTTATTACTGGCTATGGAAATCGTGTACATCATTGTTCTTTGTATGCTGCTGCTAAATGTCCATCTTTGCATATTCGCAGACTCTCCCATTGGTTGATCTTTATCTATAAATCTCTCCTTGGGCTGGTTCCATCTTATTTATGTGTTTATATGTGTAAAAACCACAACCAATACAACCTTCGTTCGAACAAAATCATACAATTGATTGTCCCAAAAATCAGAACAGAATTGGGGAAAAGGGCTTTTAAATACGCTGCCCCTGCTTCCTGGAATAATCTGCAGAAGGAACTGAAATGATCAGAATTGGTTACCTTGGGAGAGTTTAAGTCTGTCTTAAAGGAACGAGAGAACAGCTCTTTTACTCAGTGTGATTGTTTTTAATGTACTCTTAATTTGATCTGTTATTGTATATTTTACACATGTTTGTATGGGATATTGTATTTGTTTTAAATGTTATATACCTATGTGGTATGTGACTTTTGTTGCTATGATGCCAGGTCTCTCTTGTAAATGAGATTTTTAATCTCGATAAATAAAGGATTAATAAAAAATTCCCGATCACCACAGTAACCACGCCTCTTTCCTCCCTGCAGCTCCTCTCTTTGTGAGCAGACTGTAGGATGTTTGACATGAACATGTGAAGCTCCGCCTGCTGCTCCTCACGCTAACATTAAAACTCACAAACAGTCAGAGCTGCGTCAGCGTGAGCGGCTGAGCTGCACCTGCACTTTTAATGACATCGTGCGACCAATAATAGGGCTGCTGTGAGGTCACTGTAGCAACACAGTGCCCGAGAAGGTGGAGCTCCAGAAATTCTAGGATTTTGATTGGATGTTACTGATCGCCAAGTGTGTTGTGTGATTTTGTGTGTGTTGTGTGTGTGGTGTGTGATGTGTGGTCGTCTGTGTGTGACTGTATGCTAATACCATCCCCTGATTGTCCACCTCAGGGCTCTGGAAACAAGCGTTGCTGATCAAACACGAACCTGATTGTAGGGATCACAGCACTGGGCTAGGGTCGTTCACCGGTGCGCTACGGACATCACGCTTGGTTAATTTTCTAAAGTCAGGTCGTCGTAGTACGAGCCGCAACTCTATGAGATGATTAAGAGTGTTGTGACATCATGCAAGTTTGTCTCAGCAGCGCGCGTGTTAAGCTCACGGAGACTCTCTCGGAGATCAGCTACAGTATTTGTCTTTGTGTCCCGTTTGGATCTTTAGCCATCAGAATTGTTGTCTGCCAAGAAAGATTTCAAGTGGATCATCATGGCCTTGCCATATTGGTCCATTTGATTGACCTTTATTATAATTATGAATTTATTTTATTTTCAGTTGTTACAGATGGGACAGACATGACTGGGGGACAGGACACGGAGACAGAAAGAGAGCGAGAGAGGAAAAAGAAAAGCAAACAAACAAAAAATAAAAGAAATTGAAGGTTTAGGAAAGAGGAGCAGAGGAGATGATTGCAGCGCTCAGCGGGACGGCCGCTGCGGTTTGTGGCTTCATGCTGTGAGTGCAGGAAGTGTTTGATTTATCCTCCAATCACAGCTAAGAACACGTGTTGATGATGTGCTCTGGGCTTCCTCTCTGATCGAGCTCTGTGATAACGACGGAGCGCTGCCGTGATGTGTGTGCAGACGGTGTGAGGTGAAGCTTCCCTCTGCTCTCCTGCAGTCGTCGCTGTTTGCACATGGGCGGCCACCAGGCCAGCTCCGGGCTTCCGCTGGAGGCGCGGGCGACCGCCAGAGTGGACACTTCCCTGTCGCTGGGCCGGGGCGTGGGGCGCCGATGGTCGGGGCTCGCCTGCTCGCGGATGGGGGTGAAGCGGGCGATGGAGGTATGTGGCGGGGTGTGTTTGGTGGTGGTGATGTGTACGGCTGGCAGCGGGAGAGCTGCAGCGTTGCATGTACTGCAGTCGTCTGTGGTGTGAAGATACGAGATGTGCAGCACCTGGATGCCTGTGCTGGCATTTCTCCTGCGGTGTTGCTATCAGTGTGAAGAGTGGGAGAAGAGGGTTGCATTGACAATCCAACACAATGGGCAGCACATTGAACACATTTTATAAGTGGTCAGAAACTTGTAAATAACTCATGAAAGAATAAAGTTACGTTGAAACCAAGCACACCATTGTTTTTCTTGTGACATTACCAATAAGTTTGATGTGTCACATGGCCCTCTTCCTATTGAAAAAACAAAAGTTGTATCCAAGATGGCCGACTTCTAAATGGCCACCATGGTCACCACCCATCTTGAGGAGTTTGCCCCCTCACATATACTAATGTGCCACAAACAGGACTTTAATATCACCAACCATTCCCATGTTATTACGGTGTATCCATTAAACATGTAACCAGCTGCATGTGTGTTTGGAAAAAAAGGATCCGCCCCTGGTCTGAGCTCGCTGTCGCCGGCAGCAGGTGGTCCAGCTCGTTATTGGTGCTCCGCTCTTCTTCTCTGTGCTTTAATTAGACGAGTGTGGAGGACTGTGGAGGACGCTTTGTGACACACCATGAAAGCATTTCCTCTGTGTGTGTGCTGCAGGGCTGAGCCGTGGGACTGCCGACACCAGGGAGTGTGTGTATTACAACGTGAACTACGAGACCGAGAAGACGAACCAGAGCGGCGTTGAGCGCTGCGAGGACGAGCAGGACAAACGCTCGCACTGCTACGCCTCCTGGAGGAACAACTCGGGCTCCATCGAGCTGGTGAAGAAGGGATGCTGGCTGGACGACTTCAACTGCTACACCGGTACACACACACACACACACAAACAGCACACACACACACCCCGCACACACACCGCACACACACACACACACACAACACACACACACACACCTACACAATAAATGAGCTCCTCCAGCCAATCATCACACACCGACCACAGTGTGATCCATGCTGTCACGTTTACCTTCTTGCACTGAGCTGATCCAGGATCTGCTTCGATCCAAATCACAGCCACAGTCACCTAAATGTGTTTTATGTTGTCAGGTAGACCCCACAATGACTGAAGTCCTGTAAATGCATGTAAACAAATCTATGACAGTCAGTCTGTCCTGTCCTGCTGCGTTCCTGTTTCCCTTCAGAGCAGCTGCTCACAGGGACGTGATCATTGACCCTGAAGATCCTCTGTGGGATTAAAACAGGGCAACATGCTGGGGGGCTGCGTCCTCCCACCTGGTGTACTATGTGCTGCAGACCACGCGGTCACGAGGGTGGAACGCCACTTTATCCCTGGCAGTGTTGGGAGTAATGGAATACATGCAGAATACAAAATATGAGTAACTATATTCCATTACAGTTACCGTTTAAAAAGGTGGTAATCAGAATACAGCTTTGTCCCTGGCAGTGTTGGGAGTAATGGAATACATGCAGAATACAAAATATGAGTAACTATATTCCATTACAGTTACCGTTTAAAAAGGTGGTAATCAGAATACAGTTACTTTGTTGAAATAAATGGATTACACGGCGGTCTTTTCCTGTTTCATACGTCAGGCTGTGCTCTCTCTGTTTTTGGTGATTCCCAAACCAAACACGCATTAAGAGGCTCTGATGTCACCTCTACTTGCAGCCGCATAATGGCGTGAAGAAATATTTTTTAAAATGATTTAATATGAAGGCAACAGGCAGAGTGTTGCAGGCATCGCCCTAAAGCCTGATGGGCAGTGTAGTCCGTGCTGCAGGGAGGATGGACTGCTGTACCCGTGATGTGTCTGTGAGCGAGGGGGGAGAAAAAAGTACGAGCTGTCACCGAGCAGTTGTTCCTGTTTTCCTCCGAAACAATCAGCTCCGTTGGAGCCTTTCAACGCCTCTCTCTGTCTCTGCTAGCAAAGTTGAGCCAGACAACAAAGTAAAGCTAGTTTTCAGCTACGAGCCCGACACAGAGGTCCCTTTACTACGGTTTTATATACGAGCCTTACCTAATGTCCACCTACTGTTACTCATTTATATTAAGATTTAAACATCTAGCTGGTGTTGGTGTGGAGAGTAACCTTCATTAATAGTAATGAATCAGCTACAGGTACCTTGGTGTTCATCTGAACAACAGACTGGACTGGACTCATAACTCAGACGCCCTCTACAGGAAAGGGCAGAGCAGGCTGTACCTGCTGCGGAGACTCAGGTCGTTTGGAGTGGAGGGCCCACTCCTGAAGACCTTCTATGACTCTGTGGTGGCTTCTGCTATCTTTTATGGTGTGGTCTGCTGGGGCGGCAGCATCTCTGCCGGGGACAGGAAGAGACTGAACAGGCTGATCAGGGCCAGCTCTGTTCTGCCCTCTGGACCCAGTGGAGGTGGAGAGTGACAGGAGAACGGCGGCTAAGCTGTCATCCCTGTTGGACAGCATCTCCCACCCCATGCAGCAGACTGTCAAAAAATAATATAAAACAGTGTGCAAATACTGATAACAGTGCAAATGTTTGCAATATAAGTATGTAAACATCTATGTTTAGTGAACTTTGCAGTGTTGCTCTGTGGTGCAGCTACGACACCGTAGCAAAGTTTACACACTGTGTCTACTTGATCCACGTCTGACTGAACCCATAATGTTTCCACACCACTGAAGTTTTTTACCTCTTTTCAACCAACGGCAGTCACTCTCCTCTCCAAATAACTTCTGCTTAGCTTTCCGAGCTTCCCTCGGGTCCTCTTAATTGTTGTGACACGTGTTCGAAATGCAGAGAGGTGCGCTCGATTTGCCACACGGAGCAGCGCGAGAGTAAAGCACGAGGGAGGGGCTAATAATCGGCTCAGTCATTTTTAATGATCGTTGAAAGCCCAGATCGTAATCGTGATTAAAATTCGATTAATTGAGCAGCCCTAGTCAGAGTGTTACTGTGTGTGAAGTCATTTCCTGTCTCTCTCTCAGGCAGCAGTGTGTGGCCACCGAGGAGAGCCCGCAGGTCTTCTTCTGCTGCTGTGAAGGAAACTTCTGCAACGAGCGCTTCACCCACCTGCCGGACATCACCGTGCCACGTGAGTGCCATCTGATTGGTCCGTTAGCACGTGTCACACGTGTCTTCTCCTCGTATCATTGTTTGTGCTTCATGAGGTCGTGACTTCAACAGGTGGTGTCATGGGTGCCTCCTCCATCTTTTATGTACAGTCTTGATATACTGAAACCCGTCGGCAGGTTTCCTCGCACCAGACTGTCAGGGGCGTTTCCAAAGTTACCATGGTAACCCAGCGCCGATAAAGTCCTTTTAAATGTAAATGCAGTCTTTCTGTGTGTGTCAGTGATCAAGGCCCCGCCCCACAGCGTGGGTGTGTTAAACGTGATGATTTACTGCCTGCTGCCCGTCACCATGCTGTCTGTCGCTCTGCTCACCACCGTCTGGATGTACCAACACCGCAAACCTCCGTATGGACACGTGGACATTGCCGAGGTGAGCCTCAAACACTCACGCTTACCTTTTGATGAAACGAGTAGAAGTACTCGGTTACTTTGACCTGCAGACCGGAGCTGATGACGTCAGTTTGACTCTGCAATGCTGAGACGGCTCCATCTGCTGGTGGTCTGCAGGCACTGCAGCAGGAAACATCTCAAACGAGGGTTTGTCACCACATCGTGGTTCCTCATATTGAACTGTAAAACACGGCCAATCGGTCTGATAGGGCGAGAGGCGGGATTCACCTGAACAGGTGGCCCGTGTATTGACAGCACTCTCTTTTTTTTTTTTTTTTTTTTTTTTTTTTTTAAATGACATCAGAAACAGCAGTATGCGACATTACGTGATGGCAGAGCTTCAGTTCATCCTTTGTCATTTTTTTTTTTTTTTTTTTTTTTTTTTAAGAAATAGGACAGGGGGAATGAATGAGAGAAAGAGGGGGAGAGAAAGAAAGAAAACCAAAGGGGAGAAGAGACGGTGAGAAGGGGGGGAAAAAAAAACAACAACTCCTGGGTCACCTGTATGGAGAAAAAAAAAAAAAAAACAAAAACAAACAGAGGAGACAGCAAACAACAAAGAGCAACATAATAATAGAGAAAACAAAGCACCATCACAATAAACTAGCTAGTCATAGATATCAATAGTTACTGAATAATAAACGATATTGTGCAGCACGCAAGATAGACAGCGCACAGTGTGCTTTGAGGCAGCAGCCAAGAAAGCTTTAGTCCGCGTCTGTGAATACCCATGTGTACACCTGTGTGCATACCTGTGTGGATCAGCATGCTTGCATTCCAAAGGTTTCTCCATGTAATGATCTGCTAGGGAGTGTGGGGGGGCCACAGCCCCGTCCTCCAGGGTGTGAAGCGGGTATGGAGGAGATCAAAACTCCAGACATCCAGAGGCCCCACACAAGCACTCTCACTTGGTTCACAATTTTTTATCATATAGCGCCAAATCACAACAAAAGTCGCCTCAAGGCGCTTTATATTGTACAGTAGATCGCACAATAATAGATACAGAGAAAAACCCAACAATCATATGACCCCCTATGAGCAAGCACTTTGGCGACAGTGGGAAGGAAAAACTCCCTTTTAACAGGAAGAAACCTCCAGCAGAACCAGGCTCAGGGAGGGGCGGGGCCATCTGCTGTGATTGGTTGGGGTGAGAGAAGGAAGACAGGATAAAGACATGCTGTGGAAGAGAGACAGAGGTTAATAACAGATATGATTCAATGCAGAGAGGTCTGTTAACACATAGTGAGTGAAGAAGAAACACCCAGTGCATCATGGGAATCCCCCAGCCTACACCTACTGCAGCATAACTAAGTGAGGATTCAGGGGTCACATCAATTCTGACATGGGAGGGGCTTCTGTCATGTTGCTGTCTATAAATGTGTCACATTGATGCCCTCCCCCACTCTCCTTTCCTCTCCTCCAGGATCCTGGTCCACCTCCTGCCTCCCCCCTGCTGGGGCTGAAGCCTCTGCAGCTGCTGGAGGTGAAAGCCAGGGGGCGCTTCGGCTGCGTTTGGAAGGCTCAGATGATGAACGAACACATGGCCGTGAAGATCTTCCCCATGCAGGTACCGGTGTTTGCTCCGAGCATCAGGGCAGCCGTCCTGACTCCCAACCCTTCCTCACCTCCTCCTCCTTCCAGAATAAGGACTCCTGGGAGACCGAGAGGGACGTGTTCATGACGCCGGGCATGAGGCACGAGAACATCCTGAGGTTCATCGCCGCAGAGAAACGAGGGAGCCACCCCGAGGCCGAGCTGTGGCTCATCACAGAGTTCCACGAGAGGGTGAGGAAGGGGGGCCGAGGGGGGGTCAGAAACTCCCGGGGGTGTGGGGTCAATCTCCTGATGTTTGTCTCTGCAGGGCTCGCTGTCGGGCTTCCTGAAGGGAAACATGATCAGCTGGTCCGAGCTGTGCCACATAGCCGAGACGACTGCGCGCGGCCTGGCGTACCTCCACGAAGACGTCCCCCAACTGAAGGGAGAGGGTCCCAAACCGGCCATCGCCCACAGGTCTGCCCAAACC